TAAAGGGGACGCTAAACAAATATCTGATGGTCTGCTATGGGCCTGAGGTTAGGAAAGAAACTTTCCCTAAGAGTCACATTGTGAAAAAGCAGGGGAATGAAATGAAATGACACACCTGCCACCATCAGGGGTATGGCGGCCTCATTGTAGGGTTTACTTGGAAATAACAATGGTAGATGCCATTTTCATGGGTTGTGATGTTGTGGATGATCAGCACCATGCTCCCCTTGCTGATCTCTTCCTTCACAAAGGTTGTTCTTCCTCGGTACTCCTCCATCTGCTCCTCTGTCCTCTCTCGCCCGCCCTTATACACATGCACTGCAGAGGAGAACTGAGACCTGAACCACCCACCTCCATGTCCTCAGCACTTTTCTCAGGTGACAGGTGGCAGTGAAACATGGTGTTTCCTCCCATCATGGCGAGGATTAGATCAGCTGGCCCCATGACAGTAAACTCTTCTGTTCAACTAAGTGGGAGAATCAGACAGGGGCATCAGACATCAAATAACTAAGGCAGGAAAGGAAGAGCATATTCCAAGGCACAGACACATTCTTCCTCTATTTCTAAAATATTCTTTCAGACACATTCTTTCTAAGGCCACAGGGACTTCCTGGACTAAGGATTCTGGGGGCCAGTAGCTGTGGCTGGTCAGCAGCAATAGACACCTAGTAGGAGTATCTACTGAGGCTGCTAATGCTTCCTGAGCAAAACATTGAGAAACATACACTGCGTGCCCCCCACTGACCCTGTGCTTACAGAGGTTTTCTTCCATTCCCCAATCCAGTCCAGTGCCTGGAGTGGAGGATAAACTTGAGCTGTCCAATGTGGTAGCCACTAGCTAGTCCCAACAGAAATGTGCTGAAATGTGAAATATACACACACAATTTTGAAAATTTAGATTTAAAAATATTAAGTATCTCAGTATTAATATTTTTCATGAATTAACATTTAAATAATACTATTTTGGTCATTTGAGCTTCAAGAAAACATATTATTAAAGGCTATTTCATCTGTTTATTTTTTACTTTTTTAAATGTAGCTACTAAAATACTTAAAACTGTGTATGCATCTGGCATTGGGGCTCCCATTATATTTCCATGGGATGCACTGGTATAAATTCAATGAAAATGATCAGAATGAAAGGATGAGTGTACACAACTGTGGTACTTCTTCAGATTGCCGTGTTTCGCAGACTGACGTGTTGATATACTTTCTGAGAAGCTGACAGTGGCTAGTGGCATGGACCCTACCTGAGACCAGTGCAAACAAGCTGAGGAGGTGGAAGATGAGAAGGGAGCCTGGCAGGGAGAAATTCAGGGAAGCAGCTGGCTCCATAAGCACCAGAGATGAGTCACTCAGGATGGGCAGGGACCAGAGACCTAGGGGCACAGAATGGAGCAATCAGCCAAGTAGACTTGGTACCACAGTTCTGATCGAATTCATACTTTCCTGTAACCTGTGTTGGTATCATCAGCGCCTCAATTTCGGGCTTGGGCAGCCCCCTTCCTCTCCCGGTTCAGGTGTCTCCTGATAGATTGATTCATTAAACGGTCCATGGAATAAGACAACAATACAAGGATGAGGGAGGCAGTTTTCTGCCCTTCTCTGCTCACTCTTCTGCCCAGAGCTGAGTTGTCACTTCATATTCTTTCATACCCTCCCACCCTTCCCTTCCTCCTCCCCAGGAATCTGGCTATTGGACCCCAGGTAAAGCCAGTCCTAGAAAGTCTTCCCACCAGGAACCTTCCCCTCTCCCAGGAACCCCACTTCTCCCTGCCGCCCCCGTCAGGTTTCCTCCCTACGCTTATTGTCCCACCCACACCCCAGAGCTGTAGCACTCTTCCTCAACTTTCCTACCTTCTAGATTTCATTTATGGGTTTCTTTTCTCCACTGTTGCTCAAATAATGATTTTTCCCCCTTATCCCTCTTCTCTCTAACCCCCTCACAGGCTCAGTCACAACTGGGGAGCAGAGGAAAATATTTTCGTAGTCTCCCATTAGCTGCAGTGTGCAGGGCTGTGGGACCTGGGACCAGGTCCACTCTGTGACCACAAAGTCCTAATATTTCCAGTGAATGATTTAGAGCCCAGGATTGGCTGGCTGTGGGACACTAGCCAATGGAATCCCAGAGCCTACTTTCTCCCAGTTATGAGGTGGAATACACAGAAACAGTTTAAGAATTAAAACCGAACAGCTGCTAATAGCCTTTTGAGATGAAATGGCCTTTTAATTTCTTTTTGCTGTTTTCAGGAGCAAGATACTTTTCATTTTTTTTTTTTTTTTCATAAAACCTTGAGATTCCCCGAGAATTGTGGCATTGCTGCTAACCAGGGGGAGAGGCCTCTCTATGTAGAAGTGTGTATGTAAGAGTGGATGGGGTTGGGAGGTGGGGAGGTGATGAAGTAAACATAAACAGCCCTCTTTCCAAAGCCAGACACAGGGAAGGGTTGGAGGGTAGAGAATGAAGCAAGACAACAGCTGCAGTAGTAGATTCTAGACCTTGTCATTCATTCAAAAACCATTGAGGGATAGATGCTGAGAGTATTGAGAGACAAAATCCCTTTCTCTCAGGGAGGTGACATTCTAGTGGGGCAGAAAGATGGCAAGAAACAAAGTCTTTCTAGTTGAGCTTTATCGTCTGCCACTAGATGGGCAGGTTGAGTCCAACACCCACACAATGCTCCTCTCCCATGCCCTACAGACCTGAATAAGGCCATTGTATTGATTTCTTCGAGAATAATCTTTCTGAGACACATTTCTTCACATTTCTCTCCAGAGCCTAAACGCTTCCACTGAAGGCATCCAATTCCTTTCTGATTCAAACAAAACTGTGCAATTAACAAACTAGCAATGGTTCCACAGTTTCCTTGCAGGACTGAGTTGCTCTTGTGAATGGACAGAAGAAGAGGCTAGGAGAGTCTAAGAGCCTGGTTGCCTACAGCCTCTACCTGAAGAAAATCAGACCCCAGGCTTCTGGGGAAGTGTGCGCCAGAAGTATCCAGTAAATCCAGGCCTCAACCCCTGTGGTAGCTGACCTGAGCCAGCGGGAAACATATGTGTTCTGAGCATGAGGAAGACCTATTGTCCATTAGGTAGTTTAATAGGAAACCAGGTCCCACTGGGGTGTGTCACTTGGATCATGACAACCTGACATAATCTATCTCCCTCATGAGAGAAATAAACCTAGAGAGTGTGTTCCTTCCTTTCAGTCACCTCCAGCTGTGGATTCCTTCCAGATGAGGCCAAGATATCCTCTTTCTTAAAAGTGGAAGAAGGCAGAAGAGTCAAAGAGATCCAATGGAAAAGGAACAAGGAGAGATTCAAAGATTGAGAGAGACTCAATCTATCATTGCTGCTTTGAAGATGGAGGAAAAGGCCCTCAAGACGAGGAAGGTGGCGGCCTCTAGAAGCTGGGAATAGCCCTCAGTTGACAGCTAACAAGGAATGGCAACCTCAGTCCTACAACTGCAAGAAACCGAATTCTGCCAACAATCTGAAGGAGCAAATAAACAGACTCTTCCCTAGGGCCCCTAGAAAGGAGGACAGCCTGCAGACACCTTGATTTTGTCCTGGTGAGATCCATGCTGGACTTCTGATCTCTAGAAATGTGAGAAAATAAATTTATGTTGTTTTAGGTCCTGAAATTTGTGATAAATTATTATGGCAGCAATAGAAAACTAGGATTTTGGTAAAATGTTGCAATGAGGTAAACTGTGAAACTGGTGAGTAATCCGTGGGGGCTTAAAATCTGGAAAAGGTTAGTGGAAGATTGAAGATTATTAACAAGTTTATTTAAGAAACGTAAGCTGACAACCACATGCTGGTCAGAGAGGATACAATGGTGAACACTAATAGTGATGATAATAAAGACTAGTCTTTCCCCAGTATCCATTAGTTGAAAGAAACATCCTTTGACATCAGTGAATGATCAGGGATGGAAATATCCCTTTCTTGGAGATGGATTCTCCAGTGTGATAAAAATACCACTAAAATTCATGTAGTTTCCTTCCTCTCAAATTCTTTAAAGATTTTTATTTATTTATTTATTCCCCCCAGAGCCCCAGTAGATAGTTGTATGTCATAGCTGCACATCCTTCTAGTTGCTGTATGTGGGACGCGGCCTCAGCATGGCCAGGGAAGCAGCGCGTCGGTGCACGCCGGGGATCCGAACCGGGGCCTCCAGCAGCAGAGCGCGTGCACTTAACCGCTAAGCCACGGGGCCGGCCCCCTCTCAAATTCTTTTCCACAGACGATCTTCAGGTGTTAAGTTAGGCTTCCTAGAGACCTTCAAAGTAGGAGGATTGGTCCTGGCTCCATGATCTTGCATCACATTGACAGAGTGGGGGCACATGTGCCCATTATTAGTGAAGAGTTTGGCTTCTAGTCCCTTCACATCCTGTGTGATGCAGTCCCTGTGAATTCATTCTCTGGACCACGTCCCCCTTCAGACTCAATCCAATGAAGTGCTGGACGTATGGCTCTGACAACCGACCTTGAAAGAACCAAGTGGGGTGTGGCCTCCATAGTCACTCACAGTGACTTTATTGTGAGGTGACCTGGGCAGCGAGACTCAGAGCTGGATATGGTCCCATGGGGTCAAGGGGACAGGAAAAGAACAGGCTAAGGCAATGGGGTGGGACAGGATCTTAACCGCTCCCAGGAGCACAAATTTCTGTGTGAATTATATAAGTTACTTAACTTGGGTCTGCCTCAGTTTCCAGATTCTTGAAATGAGACTACTTCCAGGGTTGTTGTGAGGATTAAATGAGTGAAACTCACTTAAAGCATTTAGAACAGCACACAGTATATTTTATCTATAAATGTTAGTTGTTGTTCAAACCCTAGCTATCATTCACTTACTGAATCACCTTTGGAAAGTTAATTCACTTTTCTTTACCCCTGTTTTCTTATCCATAGAAAGAAGACAATAAAGTGGTACCAAACTCAACTGTCATATGGAATAATGGAATTAATATTAGGGAAGTGTGTCACACAGTGTGTGCATTTAGCGAGTACTTTATTGTTGTGATATGTTGCTGTGAAGGAGGAGGCCCTCAACTCCATAGTGGGAAGGGACAAGCAAGGATGTTACTTCAGTCTGAGGGTCCCCATTCCCATGAGCAGTGCTCTGGGTCACTGGGGTCCCCAGGGAAAAGTCATACACTAGGTCAGTAACAAGGGAACACTGCACTCAGGTCGGCACTGGACAAATGGTCAAGGCTGTGTTATTCAGTTGTGAAATTCCAAAAACAGGGTACAGAGGCTCAGAGAAAGTGGTGCGTGGGAAAGTGTAGATATGACATCCATCCACGGCATTGTAGAATGAGACCTCACCAGTCTCATAGTCCAGGAAAACTCCCACTCTTTGAGGACGGTTAGCAATTGTCAGCTCGGTCCAATAAAAATTGAGTGCAAAATAATCAGTCCCATCAGACAGACTTACAATCCAGAATCCATTCTGGGGATCTATAGAAACGTAATTTTTCCTCTCCACATTCTCTCTACACACACCGACATCCCATTCTTTCCTGTCTCCCACCTCCACCTCCCAGAAATGTCTCCCTGACGTGAAACTCCTGCAGTCAAGAACAAAGTTAAAATAATCAAATCTTAAAAAAAAAAAAAAATCAAATCTCTTAGGGTTGTATGGTAGAATCTGTGGTGTGTCTGCCAACTGCAGGATCCTCTGGTCCTCGGAAACACGGAGTGTGGGGTGTGCAGTGTTCAGATCCAGAATCACATCCGCTGCAGAAAGTTTGGGGATGGGCCATGGGGTCAGCCACTGTTCTTAGACCTTACAGCCTCAGCCTTCAAGACCTGGGTCTGCGTGAGGAGGTCTGAGTCCAGAGCCTGGTGTCCCCAGACTGCCCTGAAAGTGACCCTCTCAGCAAAACCAAAAGAAAGGCCCAGGGTTCTTGTGTTCAGTGGAGTAGAGTGCTGAGGATCAGGATCTGTCTAACCTGACATCTCTAGCTGGATCCTTCCTTCCATCTTTTTCCTACTTCCTGCCCCAAAACGATTCAGTCTACCTGTGCTTGACAGTCATATAGATTTACATTGCAATCCTTGCTCCATCACTCTTGAGTTGAATGACTTTTCTTTTTCTGCAGTCTCTTTTTCCATAGTCTGAGGCTATATAATATCTTTGAGACTTAATTTCCTTATCTGAAAAATGGGGATAAAAGTACTAACATCTAGGGTAGAAACAGACATCATGTATTTTATATGTAGCCCAGGGCCAGGCATGGAGGAAGTGCCTGATGTTATAATCGCTGCCAGGCCTTTTCTGTGTTACAGGCAATGTTGGGGGCTTTCTGTGCTCCCAGATCCACTCTCTACCTTTCTCTACCCTCTTCTGGGCGCCAGGAATCTATCCTCTATGGACAGCATCATTGCGTTCCCTTTTCTCTTGTTACCTGTTGGATTTGGCCAATGGGAAGTACTAGCTATAGATTGGAAGGAGAAAGGAAAGAGAGGCACTGCATTTATTTCCCTCCACTTCCTCCTTGCCAACATCAAATGGTGATGCTCTAACAAAGGCATGATTCCTCTCAGGCAGCCCTGTCCTTGAGCTACAGCTCCCTCTGAGGTCCAGGAACTGCTCCCTCTCCCTATTCCTTCCAGCCTAGGGGTGGTGACAGCTCCCCACTATTGTGAGCCCTGGGGCACTTCACATTCCCTTCTTTGTTTCCCTTAACCTCACTCCCACCTTTGTAAGGAGTTCCTTTTCTAAACCTCCTTCAACCACCCAGTTTGAACATGCCAACTATTGTTGGTTTTTTGACCTATATACATTCATTACCTCATTTAGTCTTTACCTCAACCCTCATATAATAGGGATTATGATCACCATTTAAAAATGAAGAAACTGAAGTTCAGAAACGTTGAGTAACTTGAGGACACACAGGAGCAGGAGGTGGCATAAGAATCTTAGGAAAAGCAAAGATCCTTGCTCATTGACTTCTCTCCTTCGTCATTCCACATCTTCACTCTCCCTGCAGTATTATTTCACTTTGCCTCTCCTTTCCCTCAACTCTACCCTTTATGCCTCTTGTGAAAGCCCAGGAGGGCAGTTCTCCCTGCTTCTCTTGGCTCTCAGTAGGAAGGTCCTGGAGATGGGCACACCTTTGGGACCAGGACCTCAAGTCGCCCACCCAGAACTCTCCCGGTCATGGGGACTTTTCTTCTCAGAATCTCTAGAGTTGTAGACGAAAAAGGGAATATAGTCCCTCAGGTTGTTTCCTAGGGAACATAGAGTGATTCACTCACCAGCTTGGAAGAGGGCCATCTTCCATTCTGAAAGGCAGGAGACACAGATAAGGAAAGGGCATTATTTCTGTTCTTGCCCCACCCATTCTCCTCACTAAGCCTTTTCTCTCTCCCTTTCTTCAGGCTCTTCCAATATCCAGGTTCCTTCATCTACAACTCTGCTGGATCAGCCATACAATCTCTCCAAAATGGTGGACTTCCTTCCTTCCATCATGCTGGGGCTGCAGGCCACATAGTCAGCCTTTGCTAGGGTTGGACATATGTGCCATGCAGGATGTGGGGTGACTCAAAATGCTAAGATGCTGTATCTGGAGGTTCCTTCTGAGGCTCTAGAAAAGCTGGGGTGGTGTCCGCCACAGAAAATGATCCTCTCGGCTAGATCTGATTATTCTTACTAGGAATGCCAATGGTTCACATGCAGAGAAATGGCTTAAATGCTTAGTATACATGTGCCAGGAAAATCAGATAACATCAGGGTAACTCACCAGCATAGTCCTGAGAATTTTCTCCACCTACAATGGAAGAAAGGTAGGGATGTCACTTGAAAAATGTCATTTTTGAGTTATTTCTTTTCTCTTCTTCTGCACCCATATAATCTTTCTTTTTGACTCCCATCCCCACCCTTCATATCCACTCCCTCTGCCTGTTCAATCCTCTCCTCTCCTCTCCTCCTTAATATCAAGTCTGAGAACATCAGTTGCATGCTGATGATACCCCAGGCACCATTAAGTGCTTTTCCAGCTGAGACTTGGCAGCTGTATTCTGTATGTATCTACACTACCATACCTGGGCGTAGGCGTCACTGTGTGTACACATGTCGGTGTATGTGCACTAGAATCCATTTGTTTCAAGCTGTATTATGTCCTGCCTACTTCTGAAAAGAATTGGACAACTTAATGAAGAAATTTCAAACACTATTTTTTTAAAAGCAAGTCCAATAAATCTATGACAACTGAGCCACTGTGGCCACTCCTCTCTTTAAGAGACAGTTTTCTATCCCCTCCTTCTCTGATTTTCTCATTCTTTTTTTTTCTTTTATATATTTATTTATTTTTTGCTGAGGAAGATTGGCCCTTCGCTGACATCCATGCACATCTTCCTCTACTTCATATACGAGATGCCTGCCATAGCATGGCTTGATAAGCGGTGCCTAGGTCCACCCCCAGGATCCGAACTAGCGAACCCTGGGCCGCCAAATCAGAGCTCATGAACTTAACCACTATGCCACCAGGCCAGCCTCTCTCATTTTTTCAAACCCTGCATTCTTTGTTTTCTTGTCAGCAGCATACAGATCATATAAACAACTGGGTTTCCCAGCATAGGCAAGGCACTTCATCTAGAGAGTTCCATCCCCCTCCTTCTCCTTTCCTGTCAAGTGCACGCTGGATATTCCCTGGTGCCTTGCTGGGCTGAAGAGTCTGTGGGTCCCTCATAGAGACAGATTTAAGGCCCTTTTCTCCTTTAAAAAAACACAACTTCCCAAGCTTCCCCTCAGTCAGCCACCCTTATTTCTTTCCCTTCAGAATGGGATCCAAGGCATTTCTCAGTCCTGGGCAGAGTTATGGATGAGAAAGGGAGCTGGGAAATTTCACAACAGAGAGTCTCAGATGTGAATTCAGAGAAAATATCAGAGCCACTCACAAGCCATGTGCTGGATCTTTCTCCACTCTGCAATGAAAGAAAGGTGAAGAGTCATTAAGTTGCTCAAAGCCACAATAGGGAAACATATATGGGTTCCTGGGGAAATAAGAACTTACTGAGTTCATGCTGCAGCTCCTCTGGAAAATAAGCAGGAAAAAAAAAATTACCGATACAGAGATGGAGCAGGGAGAACCTCTAGAAAATATACCTTACAAATAACCCAGTGCAGGGGTAGGTGTACCTGATGGGGAGGGGTTGAAGTTCTCAGGGGCACCCTCCCCTAACCCAGCGCCTTGGTTTTCTTCCTTGGTCTGATACCTCTTGCCATTTCTTCCAGATCCTTTTTTGCTTGCTCTCTCTCTTTATCCTTCTGCTGTCACCACAGGAAGTAACCTATCCCTGCATAAATCAGCAGGAAGATGAGTAGGGTCCCCGTGAAGGCTGCGATCCAGGGCCAGGCCCTCCGGAAGGGGTCTGCAATGGAATGGAGCTTCAGCCTCCACCACCAGGGTGGGGATCACAGAGTCAATCTCATGACATTAAATGATCCTTCCCTCCTAAAGTCTCAGTAAACTCTTACTATAAGATAATACTGTTACTTGTTTTGAACAGTTTGCTTCTTACGTCTGAATATGAGCTACTTGAGCATCAGAATTCTATGTCTTTTCCTATTTAATTTTTCAATAAAAATTGGTTACATTTGGTTTGGTTACATTCACATTGTTCAAATATCAAAAAAAATATATAAAAAGTCATCGCAAGTCTCCTATCCAGTCCCTCCTCCCATTTCTTAGCCTTAATAATTAATGATTAATGATTCAGCTTAATAGGGTGGTTAAGAATATGAACTTAGGAGCTGCAGGGCCTGCCTTCAAATTCTGGCTCCTCCACTTAACTGGCAGTGTGACCTTGAACTAATTACTCAATCTCTCTGTTCCTGGCGTCCTAATCTGTAACAGGGGGTAATAACAGTACCTCACGCATAAGGTTAAAGGATTAAAATAATGCTTATAAAATGCCTGACTCATAGTGAGTGCTATGCAAGTGTGTATTAAATCTTAATAATATAAAGATATTCTTATTGTTTCTTATTTACACCAAAGATAGCTTTCTATACAAAGTGGTCTACAACTGGTTTTTTCTCCTTGTCTTGGAGTTGCTGCCATGTTAGTACAGAGAGAATGCCTGTGTTTTCTTTCTCAGCTGTGCAATGTTCCATTGCATAAAATTTCCTCATTGATGGGCATTTGAATAATTTCTAATTTCTTGCTATTATGATTAATGCTATGAGGAATAACATTTTACATGGGTCATTTCATACAAATGCAAGTATATTTGTCATAGAAATTCCCAGAAGTGAGATTTGTATCAATAAATAAGCAGCTTGGATAAATACTGCTATATGGACCCCAAAGAAGTTGTGCCAATTTATACCAAAAGTATACCAAATTATACCAACCAACGTCTAAGAGTGACTGTCTCCCCACAATCTTGCCATTAGAATGTGTCATCTGCCACCTCGGTCTTGCTTTGTTGCCAATGTCACAAGTGAAACACGTTTTAATACATGTTCCTCTATTGAGTGAGACATCGTCTCATGTGTTATTTCCTTTTCTGTGAACTTTGCTCATTTCTCTGCTTGGTTGTTTTACATTTTAAGGAGATTAGCCCTTTCTCTAAGATATGAGTTGTACGTTTTGTTCCCCATTTTGTCATTTATCTTTGCTTAAGGATCTGATCTTTACCATTTTCCCCCAATTCCCATTGCCTGTCACAGTTTCTGGCACACAGGAAATACTCAGTAATTATCTGTGAAATAAACAGCTTAATGGGGAAAAGAAACATCCCTGGAGTAAGAAAAAGGCTCCAGATCCCTGCTCTGTGCCTTATACTCACTGCAAAAACCCAAGTCAGCAGTAGAGAATCACACATCCTCCTCTTTCCAATAGCCACACTTCAGCACAGTGAGGCTAAGCAGGGTACTAACACGCAGTGGAAATCCTGGTTGTCTTTTCCTGGCCGAGGAGGGGATTTCTGATGATACTGGATACCCTTTCTGCAGAGCTGGCTTTCATGATCACTGAAGCGTGACTGCACACAAACTGCCTCTATCTGCATCCAACCGTGCTGCCACAGCTAGCATGTCCTCTCCCTTGACATCTTTCCATTGTATTCAGAGCTGGGGATACCAGCCAGTGGATATGCACTCTAGATGGATCCCTCCATCCTCACAGGCTTTATGTAATGTAAAATCAGAAACAAGAGCTGTGGAAGGACAAATGAGTCTACAATTCTTTGGAGGCTCTTGTATCAGTGAGGGTCTCAAAGGAATGGCTGGTACACTCACATTAGATAATTCAAGGGAGGTTTTATGAAAGAGTGTTTATAAAAGTGCGGTCATGGTGAAGAGAAAAGTACATGGAATAGAGCAATATCCCATGGGCAGGAACAGTGGAGCAGTTACCACCCATCACTAGACCCAAAGTACTTAGAACTCTCTCTTCTCTCTCCCTCTTTCCATCCTCTGACTAGGCTCTCCATTGACTAAACCCAGCCAGAAGCCACAGGACAAGACAGTTCCCTGAGAAAGGGCAATGCAACCCTTGACATCTGGACATGAGCCTGGTCTCACATTCTCCTGTGGAACATAGGCAATTTCATGTAACATCAACATCAGACAAGGGCACTTTGTCACTATGATGGGTAATACAAAAACAAGAGCACTCAACAGTCATGTTAGAACACAGAGAAAAACATGAATACAATCCAAACCACAATCATGACCAAACATTTCCCTACCCTCACTATGAGTGACTGCTCTCCTTGACCAATTACAGCTTTAGCCTCACTTTAGTCTCCCTCCTAGATCAGACTTCTTAAGACACCCACCCATAGAATCAGACCACCACGTTCCTGACAGCATACAGTCTGAGCAAAGCCCTACTTCCATAAAGCCAACTCTCCTAACACAAGCCCAAATTCTATACCAAGTCTTCTCTAACACCTTCTTACCGAGACAACACTGATGTGTCATGTATTCTCCCTCCCTACAAGAAGTAATAAAAACAACTTGGTCAACTCCAGGTGTGTTCCTGGGGGTCTTTGGTGGGAAAACATTGGCAACACAGATGCCATTTTACAGGTCATCCTCCCAGGACTCACAGCACCATGCACCTAGAGGGGCCAAAGTAGCTATCAGGAACACAATTACACCAAAAAAGAACATGTGCCATCACTGAGAAGATTATTTTCTTATCCTTCCTATCCCTGACCTTCCACTTCCCTGCTTAGAGCCTGGTAGCCAGCATGAGGGAGTTCTTTACTTGATATTATAGGGTACAGGAGGGATTCTTCCTGGAGGAAAACCTGTATCTTTCCCAAGAGCCTCAGAGAAACAAAGTGGAAGGGCAGTGGAGGCAGTTCCTAGCGATGTGCCAGTAGTGCTTTGAGGTGGTTTTGGAGCATGAACTCTGCCTCTGCTTATAGGTCCCAGGAAGGAAGCAACTCAGAACAAAACCTGAAACCTCACCTGCAACCTTCAGCTCCACCAGGGCTTCTTCATAGAAGTTGCCAGATTGGAAATACCACAGGTAGTTTCCACTGTCAGAGGCTCTGATGTCGTAAATTTGGAGAGTAGCCTTTCCTTCAGTGATGTCATCTCTTAAAATCGAAGTTCTCCCTTGATACTCTGTCATCTGTTGGTCTTCTACTTCCTGCCCATTTACATACTTGTATAATACCTGCGTAAGGCTGGATCTCACCCACATCAGATCCATGGTCTCAGCACTCATCTTTGGGGACAGATGACAGGGCAGATCAGCATATTCACCCACGAGGGCAAGGATGGGACCAGGGGGTCCAATCACAGAAAACTGAGCTGGTCAGTAAAAGGAGAAGATCCATCAGAGGGAGTTCATGCCATGAGGGTAACGGGATGGTCAAGGCAGGGAGGATGAAGTACGAAAAACCTAGAGAGGAACACGGTCCTAACAAAAGTACAATTTGTTTCAATGGCATGTGAACCTTCAGTTTGGGATGGGACTTCCAGGAATGAGAAGTTGTCAGAGGTTCTAACTGGGCACTAATAGGTAATTGTCTGTTTCAGAAACATAAAAGCAGAATGTTCCCTACCTGAGCAAGGGTTAAGCAGCTGGACCAAGATGAGGCAGACAAGGAGGTCGAGCAGAGGGAAGTGTAGGGAACTTGCCATTTTCATCTGTACTGCAGAGAGACATAAGAAAGAGTTGGGCAGAAATTATAATCTGGAAGAAGATGTCAAATTCCACATCAAATTCCACCTCCCCAGGGCCGTCTCAGGGTGAAACACACAATCACTAGCGTAGTGACTCAAGATCCTCCTCTGCCAAAATGTCTGCTTGGAAGTCTCTTAACCCTTGAGTTCCAACATGGAAAATCACTCAAAAAGCTATGAAATGTTAAATGTAAATACTTTAACATATAAATATTTTGTGCATAGTGTTAAATGTACAAACATTAACCCAAACCCATCAGGAAATCGTTGGTTTTATTGTCCAAATATATTCAGTATCCTTCCACTTTCCCACACTTCCCCCTCTACAGCCAGGTCCAAGACTTTACTGTCACACTCTGATTAATGCAGGAACCTCCTGTCTGGGTCTCCTGATTCCACCGGTGTCCCCTACCTGCTCCCCAGGTGAGCATAGTCCACCTGTGTCTATGCTCACCACAAAAGCTAGAAGGTTCCTCGAGTCATACTACTTCACTCCTCTGCTCAGCACCTTCCAGTGGCTCCCATTTCACTCAGAGTAGATGCTGAAGTCTTCACAATGTCCAGCATGGTCCTCCAGGACCTGCACCTCTCACTTTGTCTCCCTTACTCTCCTTGTCTAATCTAGCCACACTGCCCCTCTTGCTGGTCCTTGAACAGGTGAGGACAGAGGACCTCGGACCTGACTATTCCCTGTACCTGGAACGCTCTTCACCCAGATATCCACAAGGCTCACTCCCTCACTTCCCTCAACTCTCTCCTGTAAAGTCAGTTCCTCCATGAGACTTTCTCTGACCACAGGATTATGGGAAAATGCTCCTATCCCCCTGAGCCTGCTCTCTTTTCCCCATTGAATTTTCACCATCTAAAACATGTGTTTACTGTTCCTACCTGCTCCATTGGAAGCTCTACAAACAAGGATATTTGTCTACATTATTTACTGATGTATAACAAGATGTCACAACATGGAACCCTCAGTAAATATTTGTTGAATGAGTGAATGGATGAGGGGTAACATATTAACCCATCAATACTCACTAGCATTTTAAATGAATTTAGATGATCAGGTTAAGTGGTTTTCATCCAACAAGAAGGGAGGTGGGGAGTTGTGAGGAGAAGCCTCTGCTTCCATAATGACACTGCTCTTTTGGTCTGGCTTAGACAGCAGAGTATGGCCTTCTGTGATCTCACTAGAACTTGCCTATATCAATGTATTTATTCTTATTTTTCGGTAAGGTGATATCAAGGAGAAAGCATGTCCTGGATACCCATGTAAGCGTGTTACAACTCGGATAGCATCAGTGCATTCTTTTCACAATTTATCTTTGGGGGAAGAACATCCCTGGGAACGAAATGACTCATTTCCTTTGTTCCCCTTCTCCAGGTATTCACCAGTGCTCCTTGGCAGATGGCCTCTGGGCTCATCAGCAATGGATAAGTTCCCAGGTCTTAGTCTTTCCACTGCTAAATAAGTGTAAGAGCTGACACTTGCATAGTAGGGGCAAATATTTCAGGCTAGGAGCAGACAACTGCCCAACAACGCTCATGCCTCTATGAAGTGCTGAGGTTCTCTCAGCTCAGAGGTTGGGCCCTTGCTACTCCCCACTCCCTGCCAAATGCTCCCAACTGTATTTGGCTCAGAAAAGCACCTCTGCCATCTTTTAGGCGTGGTCTGTAGCATCAATGTGAATCTTTGTGATAAGGGAAGTGTGGGGCTCTCAACAGCTGGCAAGGCTTGATTCTAGCTGGAGTTCTAGCTTGGCTTCCATCTTAACCACCCCAGAGTTAGCTGCATCTCTAGATAGTGGAGAGCCTGAGAGCAGGCCTAGGTGGATTACTCAGAGACAGGACCGAGCTCTCTAGCCGTAGCCTTATCCTCTCCTATCATGTATCTTCTACTTCCCTGACGATGTCAGGTGGAATGGGGTGCTGACAAATGATCTGAGGGTGTCCCTATCTCAGGAGCAATACTGCAGACTTCTCTAAGCTCCAAGCCATGGCCATCACCAAGTTCAAATCATACCCCCGTCATACTCTGGTTGAGATCCAGTCAGATTCCCTGGTGGAGGCTCTGGAATCAGTCAGAGCTTGAAGCCACCACTGTTAATCCTGAGAGAGCCAGGAATAAGACCAGGTCTCACCCATCTTTTCATTCATTCACTCAACAAATATTTACTGAGCACACACTATGTGCCAGGCCCAATGTATGTTGGGTGTAGGAACAAAAAGAGTGTGGAAACTAGGTAAAGACCCTATGATTCACAATCTATGTGATCTCAGTCACGTGACAAAACCTATTTGAACTCTAGTCACTCATGAAACAATGTGAAATATGAACTTTAGAATGTGCAGTATTGGCCCAGCAATTCCATTTCCAGATATCGGGTCTAGCAAAGCACTTGCATAAGTCCAGAGAGAAGCATGTGTAGGGATGACACTGAAGCTTTGTTTTTAAAAGTACAAAAGCAATCAACAAGCTAACCGGCCACCCACAGGAGACTGGTTAGTTAAATAATGGCTCATACCTATGAAGGAATGTAATGTGGCAGTTAAGATTAATTTATAGTCACTAACCCAGATAATCAAGATACATTAAGTGAACAAAAAATACATTGCAGAACAATATTAATGATTCCTTGAAAAACAAAAACAAAGCTATAAATTTGTACATTCGTGTCTATGTAATTTTCTAAAAAAGGTCCACAAGGAAACATTCTGTGCTGAGAATTGGGGATTGAATGAAAAATAATTTTGTCCTTTGCACCCTATACTTTGAAAATTATTTGAATGGTTTAAATTTTAATAGTTTTGATGTATAGCTTAACAATAAAGAATTGTTACAAGTAATTATAATGATTGCAACTTATTAGTTGTTCAGAAAATACCGACGACTCCAAGACAAACCAGTGTGAGGCCCCAGTCACAGTACCTACAAGTCCGAGAACTGCCGGAGGACAGGGGAGCAGGAGTTTGTGCAGCTGGCTCTCCTTCAGACCCTTGTCTGAAACATGGACACGCCCTCAGACAGAATATTGCCTTTCAGTACATCCTCTCCTCTTCAAACTGTTCTCTCTGTTGCTAGAGAGAGGACAGTATTATTCTTGTTTTAATAGGTAACAGCTTCTCTGCTATCCTTAGAGTAGGGAGTATATATTTTCACTTATTATTTAGGCTATTTTTTGTTTTTTGCTGCTGATTATGGACGATTTTCAATTGGATAAAAATACAAAAGAATAAAATTTAAATAATCTGTAATGGTAAACATATACCTCGCTTCATGGGAATATAAATATTTCTGGAAGTATTTTGGCCACATACATATACCAGATGCCTCTAAAATGTTTCATCCTTTGACCCAGAAATTCCACTCTCTTGAAACGACATCACGTGTTAACACAAAGATTTATGTTTAAGTCTGTTCATTATAGTAAAATCTATAATGGCAAAATGCAGATAAAATTTAAATATCCAAATTGAATCCAATTTTGTTACAATTATAAATAAAAACTATTAAAAAGATGATTCCTAATGACTGTATGGATATCCCTTTATGATTGGACAATGTGTTGTTTATCCATCCTCCAAATATTGCATATGTATAAGTAGGTTGGTTCAGATTTTTCTGTATTACAAATAATTCTGTACTAAACATCATTAAATATAAATCTTTAAGGCACATCTCTTTTTAGAATCTCTTAGAATACTTTCCCAGAGATGACCAGGAGAGATTATAAGAGTCCTTTCTCCTTTCTCACCACAGTAAGTTCCTAAGAACTAGCAGTTGGCAAGTTTCTTCCTTCAGGTTGTCTCCCTCCCACAGAATTTTGTAATGCAGGTCCTTACCTTTTGCACTGCCTCCCTCCTCCCCTCACCACACACACAAGAACCAAACCCCTTACTCTGGGTGAGTACTTCTCTGTATCCACTCTCAGCTTTTTAGCCTCTCGTTCTTGCAGGGTCTGTGGCCCTGACTTTTACCAATTTCCCCCACTTACCCCTTGGTACTCCCATCTGAAAATCACAGCGCACAAAACGAAGGTAATTGGTATTTCTCCATTATAGTTAACAGTTTGCCCTGGAAGAAAGGGTAGAGAAAGAAAGGCTGCTCACTGTGAGAAACAGGAACAGAAACCCTCTTTGGAAGAATTAGTTTTTTGATTGCCTCAGAGGGGTGTTTTTTATCAGTTGCTGGACAGAAAACAGTGAGGAAGGTTAGAATGAAAACTGAAACTTTGTTGGATTGCCCAAAATAATGAAAAAAATTACAGCCCTAATTCCCACATTGTTTGTGTCTCTCTATGTTTACCTATTTGAATCTTTCATGCATATGTTTGTGTATAATCAGTATTTCATTATATACACTCATTTTATGCTTTTTATATCATGACAGATACATCAGTAGAACTAAGCAGAAAAATTACAAGACTTTAGTGTTGGAAGAGAGGGAGACGTGCACTAATTAAAATGTTTCTGTGGCCGTTTGCTAACATCTGTTGCTTGTAGGTGGACACACGGAGGAGGACATCTTTTACAGCAGAGCCAAATGGAAGTAAAAACAGAAAGAAAAACCAGATCCATTTGCTTGAGGAAGACTGTCGCGGAGCTAACATCTGTGCAACCTTCCTCTATTTTGTACGTGGGATGCCACCACACTATAGCTTGATGAGGGATGTGTGTCCCCGCATCTGGAATCTGAAACTGCAAACCCTGAGCAGCCTAAGCCGAGCGCAGGAACTTAACCACCATGGCACCAGCCCGGCCCCTCCACTCCATCTTTCTAGCACCTCTGAAACTCAAGTCTCAGATCCACTACCACATCATATGATCTTCTGGTTTCCAGAGGCAATGCTGCCAGCGACTGGTGGGCACGTGTTACATTTTCAGAACATTCTTATTTGGAGTGTTGCTGAGGAGCTTCCTTTGCCCTCAGCCCCTTATTTGTGCTACATTTGTATCTTCATGTGTATTTGTTTCCACTCTGCCCACAGGATTCTGTATTCTCTGAGGTTCGACTCCGGATAGGATTTGAATGCTGTTTCTATAAGACTTCTTTGGGGCAAACTTGTCCTACCTGTGGCCTAGGGCCAGCCAAAATACTTTATTTGATTCTACAGAAGGTGATTAAAACTCCTAGGGTGATTAAAACCCCTTGATGTGACCGTGGCTGATAGAATTTGATTATATTCCAACTGTTTGAATTTACACTCTGTGGTGGACATGCCTGGTTGCTTGTGTAATATCTATTCCCTGCTTCTTCTTAGTAATCAAACCCAGTTTGGGGGTTTCTTGAAATATGCCCATGCCCCTTGTAGATAGGATAGACCAAATGAATAAGTTTGAGCCAATGATTTGTAGGTGGAAGTTGTTGGGTTGTGTTTCTCAAGAGAGGTCCATACTCTTCCTACTTCTTCCTTCCTTTTGTCTAGAACATTGTCCTTGGAGCTGGAGTGCAGTGACCATCTCATGACCATGAGGCAACCTTGAGAATGTCAGCCACATGCTGAGATGGCAGAGAATAAAGAAAGAAGGAGGCTGCAGAATGGAAGCATCTCTGAGCAGCCAGACCAACTCTGGACCGCTGCCCTCTGAATTCATTTTACATGGAAGGAAAACAAACCCTTCTTTTGTTTAAGCCAATGTTACTTCTGGTTTCTGACATCAGGAACAAGATACAGTTCTTCCCTCACCATCCCCCACTGTCAATAGTTTTCATGACATTTTTCAAACATACAGCAAAGTTGTAAGGCTTTCTCGATGAATACCAAATTTACCTGCTAACTAGATTCTGCAGAGACATTTTACTGTACGTGTTTTATTATAATCAATCCTTTTGTTCATTCCCTATCCACCTATATTTATTTATTCATTTCAATCTTTATTTATTTGCTTATCTTCTGCCTTTTAAATTAAGTTTCAAACATCAATGCACTTTCCCCTGGTTACTTCAGCACACCTATCAAGTAGAAGAATACAATTCTGAAAGGCTTGAGGCACCAATGCTGCTTTGGAAACACAAATGTAGGAGTTTCTTTCTGTTATATGTTCTAAAATAATCAGTGGGGTATTTTCATCTGGAGATCTCTAGCTCCTAAATGCCTCACCATCGTCAGTGATATTGACAATCTGTCCCCAGGTAACTGGCCTCTCCTAGTAAAAGTGAGGCTACCTCCAGGAGGCTGTGTAAGCAGGAGGCTCCAGGACTGCCTCTCAGGAACAGCTTGAGACAGGGACAAGCACTGCCTCAGGTCCCCTCTGTCCATTCCCTGGCATCTGCTGAGAGAAGTGCTGTCTTCTCCACTGATACCACGAGAAGGGAATCGATGTTCTGGAGATCCTGTAGGATGTAGGGCCCACAAATCACTTGAAGAAGAGCAGGCATAAAATCTCTTGTGAAAGAAGCTGAGGAGAGGCATGGGGTTGATTTCACAGAGAAAATAAAATAGGAGAGTGGGCATTAT